TGTTTTGTCTTGTCCTGTCACTTGGGAGAAGAGCCCAACCCCTCCCTCCCCTGCACCCTCCTTTCAGGGAGCTGTAGGGAGCGATGAGGTCTCCCCTGAGCCTCCTCTTCTCCAGGCTGAGCATCCCCAGCTCCCTCAGCCCCTCCTCACAGGACTTGAGCTCCAGACCCTTCCCCAGCTCCGTTGCCCTTCTCTGGACACGCTCCAGCACCTCACTTGCGTCATTTTACCTGAATTATTCATCGTTAATGGCCCATTATCAGAGCCCCTGTGCTCTGGCTGGTGCTGCTGATGACGGGATCCCAGATGGCTGCTGGGGGGGCTGCAATCAGAGGAGCCGTGCTGATGAACGGGGCTTATAAAGCAACAGCTTCCAGGGAAATCAGTCCTAATCAGGGAAGAGGCGAGGGCTGTAGCAGCTGCCCTCACACTGCACAATGGCTGGGGAGTAAGGCAGCGGTTTTCCAACTGTTTATGAGATTTCTCCTTCTGTTACACTTCGGCCTCAGCAGGGATCTAATAGGCATCGCATGGGAAAATGATCCGTGGTGGGATTTCATCCCTGACCACACACACCTTAGCTGGGCTGCTCCTGTCAGCCCACGGCACACCAGGAGCAGTGCTGGGGCTGCCCCATCGAAGCCCGGCGGCTCCCCAAAATGTGTCCCACAGCAGGGAGGTGCTGCTTGCTCAGGGTGGGAGCCCCACAGCAGTCGGGTTGGGGGCCAGTGCCGGAGTAGCTGGCCAGGAAGAGTCCAGGTGCAGGACTGCCCTGGCAAAGGGGTCCCCATCAGGGGCTCGCATCAGCTTGTGGAAGCACGCTCCCTCCTTTCCCGTGGAGAAGCATGGATCATTGCCTCCTCCCTTGCAAACAAGCAGACACCAGACTTGGAAAAAGCCCCCGTGCTCCAGAAAAGGGCTACAGCTACTGCCACAAACCAGCAACGGCGAAACAGAACTTGCTTCACCTTCGCTTCAGGTGTATGTTGATTTTCCAGTGAAAAGCTCCTGTGATTCCGCTCCTGCCCTGCAGCAGTTTGGAGCAGCCCTACCGTGTCCGTTCTGCCAACCGGCAACAACCTGCCCACACACCCGGCCGTGGCACAGGGAGCCTGGGGGCAGACGGGGACGTGGCATCAGTTCGGCGCCCAGGGAAAGGTGCACCAGCTTCTCAA